GATCTTGATATAATAACATAGTACAATAATAAAATATGAATGTAATATTTGTAATAGAAAAATAAGAAAAATAAGAATACAATACTTAGAAAATGTAATATTTAGAAAAATAATATAAATAAGAAGTATATTAATATAAAAAATTAGAATCATATTAAAAAATATTAAAAAAATATAAACAGGATTTTGCTTCGTATCATCGACACGAAATAAAATTCTGCTTTCTGATTGCAGAATATCGTATATACGTCGAATCCAGTATAAATCTAGCAATTGATCCGAAGAAATTCATTTTCCTGTTGAGCGGAACTTGCGAATGCGGAATTAATGCGAGCCGCTATTCCGGTAAATTTAAATAAAGCAGAGGAATGAAAATTTTGCTGCAGTGTCTGCTTGCATCGCAATATTTCGTCGGTGTGTTTAATTTCTTAATCTGAATAGTCATCGATTTCAATAACTAATCATCGTTCATAAGGCAGAGCGACTTTTTTTGTCAAATTTTTATTTATTTTTTTGCGAAAATGCATCGATTGGATGTATTTTCATCATATTATTATATATATATATAAATCCGATTAAGAGTGCCGTACAAATGTGCTCATAATTCCTCAATGACTTGATATTATTTGGATAACTTTTAATTATTTGGATTACATTTAATTACGTGAAAATATATTAACTAAAAGTATTTTTATCAATATTTGAGGTAATCCAATTATATATAATATAGTTTTAGCCACAATTGCACTTATTCAATTCTTCCGTGATCGCATTACCGTAAAATAACAATAATGTTAATAACTGCAACTTATAATCTCTGCAGAGTGTAGAATGTATAAAATGTGCATAACCATCGCAGCGTTTGCAACGCTCGCTGACCATGTGTGACTATGTATTGCTAGCGCCACATTTACCTCTTGTGCCAAAAATTCCAAAACATTACCCACTCCTAGCAGCGATGATGACGACGACGGCGACGACGAAGACGTTTCTTAGTTTTTTCTTAATAAAAGTTTCAGATTCGTATTTTGCGTCGCAATATTTTCACTAGTAGAGCACGTAGAGAAAAAAATAAAAACTTTTCATTATATATTCCGAGCGGTTGCACTCGATTGAGCATACTTAGAACTCGATCAGTTTAGTCCTTATTGAGATCCGATAATTTCGATCTGGCGCAACTCATCGCGTAAGGTAGCCACGGTAGTGTCGCTATGCGTAACTTAGCGTCAAGACACTATCAGTGTCTTCAGATTACTGATATTTATAGTACATAAATTGATAAATATTAAAAAATATTTATAAATACTATAACATTATATTTAAAATCGCAATTTAAGTACAAAAATTTATTAATAATATTTACAATTTAGTCAATACATTCATTGTACCAAAAATATACACAAAGAATTAAGAAATTTATTACGGTTTTATTTAATATTACATTTTAATGAAATACAATTTTTAGTAATATATTATCAATTTTAGAAGAAAAAAACTTTTTGACAGAAATAATATTCTCATGATAAACAATAATCCTTTTTTTTATATTTGCCATAAAAGAATAATTTGCAATACTTTTTGGTCCATAATTTAATTTTTCAACCATATAAGTATCAGATAAGTATTTTTTATATAAGTCGAAAGTACAATAGAAAAACATTTTTAATAAGAAAATATTAAGGGAATCCCGTTCGCTTACAAATCTGTTTATAGTATCGTTCGCCTACATCACTTTTCCAATCAGAAATAGTTCCTCGAAAAGACATCGTTTCGACGTCGTTACAATAAAAAAGTTGTCGATTCTTGCATCGAAATTTCAACATTTTCGAATGACAAAAAAATTACATATGTAGAGAATGCAATGAGAGTTTGATACATTTTTAATATTTTTGGTATAAATTTGATACGTAATCTTATATTTTGAATATTTTCATTCAAAGATCGAATCGACATTTTTTTCGATTTCATTTCAATAATTGCAATTAATATCGCTCTAATCATGAAAGCTCTCAAAATTTTTCAGAATTTATAAATATTGGGTTGTCCAGAAAGTTTGTGCCGATGTTGAAGGAAAATTTAAACGCAGAAAATTTAAATTTTAGTATACATTTATTAAATTATATAGTCGGCACGAACAACCCAATAATTTTATAACTTTTTAGAAAATTGTGGAATTTTTTAATACGAATCGGAACATTTTTTACAATTGTTGATAAAGTCTACATCTTTTCTTCTAGTAATTTTTTGTATCTTATTTTATTTTTCCACTCCTGCTGAATATCATTATTTTTATTTGTATTAGGTATACAACTTTGCTTCCGCCGTTTTTTTCCGAAATTTGAGGCTTTATTGTAAAAAACTGGTTATACATTTATGATTCAAAGTATTGTCCATCGCTGGCCACTACTTTCTCTCATCTTTCAGGTAGCGTACAAATCCCGCGAAAAAACTGGTCATCTTTTGAGGCTGTCCACGAATCGATCCAATTTTTTATTTCTTCATAAGACCGGAAGTGTTGGTCAGCCAGGCCGTATGCCATTGATCGAAACAAGTGATAGTCAGAGGGAGCAACGTCTGGAGAATACGGCGGGTGGGGTAGGACTTCCCATTTCAATGTTTCCAAGTATGTTTCCTGAAGTATATTCCCATGGCTTTGAGGCGTTTTGAAGTGGCTTGTTGAGTCACTCCCAATGATCGTGCCAATTCTTCTTGATTTTGACACAGTCTTACTCAAGTAATGCCTCCAATTCTGCATCTTCGAAAACCTTCTCTCTTCCACCGCTATGCCGGTCTTCGACGTCAAAATCATCGTTCTTGAAAGCACTCACGACACGTTCTTTCACTAATAGCGGCCTCACCATAAGTATTTGAGAGCATTCGATGAGCCTCAGCCGCAGATTTCTTCATATTGAAGCAAAAAATTAAAACCTCCCGCAAATGACGAGAATTTGGCTCGTAAACTGACATTTTCAATCGAGAATAACTTTATGATGCAGACACAAATCGACTAATGTTTCTATGGGGTTATGTTGACAGATGCCCAAGTTTATTGTATGACGTCTATGATCTATTTATTTCGACCACCACTTACCGCTAAAGCCATCTATAGGAAAACGGCGGAAGCAAAGTTGTACACCTAATACTTTGTAGTTTATTTAATATAATCTTATACGTCACTTTTGTATTGAGGAATTTCGGGAAATAATATTTCTTACTATAAATGAGTATGAAATCAAGGAAAAATATCATCGACTCTATCAAAGTCTAACTAATTGATATCGAAATGATCTCGATTTTTAAATAAATGAAATTTAAATGTTGGTCTACCATACAAGTTTCCAATAACATTTGGAAGTATAAAAATACTGCTAGTGTAACTGCTACTATAGTAGTATTACTACTGATACGCAATAGTGTTAATGCTAAGTAGTATACTACTGTAGTAGTAGTATACTATATGACGACATATGACGTAACATAGAACTACTTCCAGTAATTGTAAATATTAGGTATAAAAAATTTATTAGAGTAAAAAAAATATATATA